CCTGCAACAGCACCGGAGAGCTCCCTGCTCTTCTCCAGGGATCACATCACCCCCTTGCTCAGATGTTCCCTTCTCCAGTGGCTTCCCGTCACATTTAGAGTGGAACCCAACACGGCCACAGGGCTCTGAGCTGGCCCCTGGCTTCTCTTTCCACTGATCCTGTCCGCTAGTTCACACGGCCACACGTCTTGCTTTTTGCACACACCGATCGCATTTCCCGCCCCAAGGCCTCTCTGCCTGGAATGTTCTCAGCCAGGATGTTCTCCTGGCTCATTGCTGCACTTCCTTCAGGTCAGAGAGGCTTTCCCTGGCCACTCTTATTACATGATATTCTATTGCATGTTTACATTTTACTATATGTTTGTCGTTTATATGAAGCTTGCCCACTGCTTCTAGAACACAAGCCCAGAGGGAATTTTGCTCCTCACCGAAGTGTCCTCAGTGTGTAGAGGAGCCCATAGCAGGTACTTAATGAATATTTAAGGAATGGGTATGGAAAGCAAGGGTCGGACCCAAACTGGGGATTGACAGGGCAGTGAGATCAGAGGTCAAGAATAGGGCAACATGAAGGAGATGGCGAGAACACAGCAGGCCTGGCTGGCGTGGATCTCAAGGAGGTCATGGAGGTAGGGCGGCCCGGAGGCTGGATACGCTGGGAGGTGGCTGGGGGCCGGTCAGGGATCAGCGAGCGGATGCAGTGGGAGGAGCGGGACACAGGGGCTCGTAGTCACAGAAGGGTGCTGAAGAAAAGTGTGAGTTGATTAATCATGCATTTTCTCAGAACAGTGGTGCGTCTTCCTCATCTTTCTGTCTTCTGTGTCCAGTACCGAGTTTGGCGCACGCCAGATGCTCGAGAATCCGTTGTGAATGAAGAGACGCAATTGACCAGACTCCACAGGCACACAGCTTTATCCTGGTTCCTGGTATCTCCCAAATCCTGTAACAGCACATTATTCCCCTGCCCTGTTTGTCTTCTGGTCCATGTTTACCCCCATTCGCTGCCACACAGGCACCTCCCTTCCGCACACGGGATCTCGGGGTGATGCAGATCAGGCCGCCAGAACCGGAGATAGAAAAACTTACCTGATGTTGCCCAGAAATGGGTGGTAGAATCAGGACCCAGCCACTCCACTGGTACAAGAGCAGGTTCAAATAGATGTTCCCCAAATTCTCCTCAATCTCTGACGCTGTAAGATTTAAGATTTCAGACTCACGCTATTCTAGCGATCTCTGCAGGGTTTTCTATTTTTTAAATTTTCCCTTTCCAATTTCTGCTGTTTTTTTCCACTACTGAATAGCTTCCTCTTTCATTGTTCCTACAGTCTTGTGGAGAAGATCCAGAATAATTTTCTAGGTGTTTCCCCATAGCCACGAAACCCTGCACTAAGCTGTAGATTCCATGCCTCCAACACAAGCGCACAGTAGGCATGCAACGCAGGCTTGCCGCATGGCACTGAGCACAGTCAACGCAGGGACGGTGATGCAAGAGGAGAACCGAAAGCCAAGCCTTCTGCTCCGTGGACCTGAGCTACTTCCCTCCTCTCAAGACAGTTCAAGTCCTGCCTCTGCAGCAGCCTGTCCCCTCACCCCTCGCTCTATGTTCTTTCCCAGGAGATGGGTGGAGTAGACAGGCCCAGCTTCCCAGAAAAGCAGGGTGAGGTCTTTAGCCAGCAGGAGAGAACAGATACAATCCCTGGGATTTATGCTGGCAATAGAAACCTTGCAAAATGCATGACCAAAAAGAGACAAAACAAAACAAAAACACCCCTTTGTTCTGTTTCACTGTTAGAGAACTGAATGGAGACCAAGTCAGTAATTTCAATAGTTTCAATTCCACATTACATGAAAGAAGGCAGAAGTCACATTTAAACGACCTGAAAATGTGGACACTTTCTACTTTTTTCCCCCCTAGAGTTTCTTGTCCTCATCTCCTTCTCCTCCTCTTCCCTCCCCTCCCATCCTCCTCGGTTAGTTGGGTTCCAGGCTAGACATGGTATGCAGCAAGTGCATGACTTCATGCATTTCCTGGTTCTAGAAATCTGCCAAGAAAATGGTGCCAGGAATCTAGGTCAGAGAATCCTTCATCATCTGCCCTTTTCTCAAGACAAGGAACAGGCCAGTGAGGCATGATTCTCTAGTTCTTTTTCTACCCAGTCTTGGGCTGGGCCATGCATAGCCTGCAGGCTGCAGAGTCCTGTTCCCACGCCAGGAACCGCGTTCCTGTGCACGGTGCTGGGGCGGCCAGGGCCAAGGAGCATGTCACTGACAGACCAGGCACAGGGCTTGGGTGTCCCTGCCTCCTAGGTTGACGAGGTGCAAAACCCGGTGTGATCCTGTGGGGTGAGTTCCAAAGGCTACCGCTAGATGGCAGTGTTGGTCAGTGCACGAGTCAGCAGAGGCTTCTTAGCAATCCTTTTTGATGTCATTTCACAGATGAGAATATTGGCGGGGGTGGCATCAGGGAGGCAGGTGGGCAGGCGGACTTGGTCCAAGATCCCCCGTGACCAGAACTGGCCCATTCTCCCTTGCCTCAGACTTCTAAGGACCATGCAATGAGCTCAGATTCTCCTTCTGGTTATTTTTAACATCCAATCTCTCCTTTACCACCCAAGAAGTGCCAGCCTGGGCCAGATAGTTGCTTTGATAGAATAGAGGGGTCAGGGGTCTTGGGTGGTAGACACCATGGCTCCCCATCCCCTACAAGATGAAGTCCAAATGCCATAGAATGGCTTGTGAGCTGTTTCTCATGCTGCAGAATTTTCTTACTTTTATTGCAGTCTGTTATTATCCTTAAATTCTGCCATGGTGCTTTTGGGGTTCTGAAAACCTATGCCACCAACAAGCATTACTTTTGGGAGAGGCATCCCCTGATCCATTTGGGAAGATCAAATTACTGTTGATTTTGTGCCATTCCTTTACCTAATCTCTCCTGGGAAGGACGAAGGTTGGAGGTGGTATGATGGGCAGGCATCCTACACATCCTCCCCACGGCCCCCTGTGAAATCAGTCAAGACTCTCGCTTGCGACAGAATCCAATTAAGTCTACCCTTGACAAAAAGGAAATGCTATTGGCTTCAAGGAGGGCACGGGTGCAGCTGGGGAAGACTGGATGAGCAGGATTACATGATCTCTCTGGAACGTTCTTGCAGACTTATCTGTTGCTTTGAGGGTGGAAGTCTTCCATAGGAGAGAATAAATGACTTTCTCCCTCTGATAGGGGGACAGGGGCCCGGGCTGCTTTATGCTCACCTCTTCCCCACGTCACTACGAGGAAGGGAAAGGCTCTTTCCAATCAGGATTTGGTTTCAAAACAAGGACTGATCCTCTGGAAAGAGGAGCTCATGATCAAAACAGGGCCAATCATTACCATCACTCTGATTGGTCAGTCTTGGGTCATGTGCCCACCCTATAGACTGGGATTGACAATCTCCCACTCAAATTGCATGATTGCAGTGAGAAAGTTGAATTTTCCAAAACGAAGGTGCTCTTATGGAAAGAGATAGCTGGGAGGAGGAGAGGGTGTTGGTCAAACAACAATGAATGTCCATTCCACTGCTTCCCAGGGACCTAAAGGATGCACTTATAAAAAAATAATTTTTTTTTAAATTTCAAAATATTAAGGGGATGCAAATGTTTTAGGTGACATAGATCTCTTTTGTAATGCTGAGTCTGACTATAGGTGTACCCATCACCCAAATAGTGTTCATAGTACCCATTAGGTATGTTTTTCCCCCTTTCCTTCCCCTTTCCCCCCTGGTTGATTTGTACTGAGTTTTACTTCCCTCTGTGTATACATGTGCTCATTAGTTAATTCCAATTTAATAGTGAGCACATATGTAGCAAAATTAAACTCAAAGTGCCTGTTTATTACTAGATAGGTGAGTGTCTTAGTGTGTTTTATATTGCTGTAGCAGAATACCACAGACTAGGTAGTTTATAATGAAATTTCTCTCAGTTCTGGAGGCTGGCAAGTCCAAGGTCGAGGGGCTTGCATCTGGTGAGGGCCTTCTTGCTGTGTTACCCAGCGGTGGGAGGCATCATATGGTTGGAGAGTACGAGAGGGAGAAGAAAGGGGCTGAACTCATCCTTTTGTCAGGAACTCACTCCTGCCATAGTCGACCCACTCCAGCAATAACGGCATCAATCCATGCATGAGGGCAGCATCCTCAGGACCTAATCACCTCCCATCCCATTAGGCTCCACCCTCCCAACACTTGCATTGGGATTAAGTTTCCAACACGGGAACTTTGGGGGACGATTCAAACCATAGCAGCCAGTGCCGTGTAATCTTCAGCACAGAGCTCTGAATGAAGCAGGAGGCTTGGGTTTGAGGATTAGAGCAGGGCTTGCTTCCTTATCCCCTAAATTCAAAAGTCATAGATCAGTAGCCAACATACTTAGGAAAAGAGAGTAGAGCTTCCACCTGCAAGGAGGAAGAATTTGGGGAAGTCAACCACTTGATAAAGACAATGAAACTTCTTGGAGCTCTCATTCCAATGGACAGAACCAGTACACTGAGTCGGGACCCCCTAACGGGCCCCACCCTGCATCAACTTGTAAATGAGACCCAGTCAACACACCTCTGCATTCTTGTTAGACAGCAGGTCCTCCCTGGGTGGTGAATAAAAATCAGGGAGGAGTGGGTTCATTGGTAGAAGTGTTTCCTCCTCAACATTTACTCACTTGGTGTTAGACCAGCGAGCTCAAGTTTAAAGTTCTTCTATGGAGTCCTCACACTCAAGGCTACGGTCAACCAGGAATGAGACAACTCCCTTCAGTGGGTGACACCAGCCATCACAAGGGAATCCCCTGAGGCTGCCCCTTAACTCTCACCACTGATTTTTATACATTCCTGTGCCCAGGGAAATGGACAGTTCTTTGGGCTCTAGAAGCTTCTGCAAGGATAAAAATAAGACACTTGGGCCAAGGTCATAGAGTCACCAAATATTGACCCCTTATTTTATTTTTCAAGTCAAATCTTTCCTAGCCATGTAGATCAACCTGGCTCACCAGCACAGTACACACCTGGGCACCACATATACAATGCCCACAATATAAAAAATATTCTAAATGGAAATCATATGAATCCCTTCTTTATTAAATTCCCTCAGATACTTAAGTTCCAGTAACAAAAACTCCCTATTTTATGTGTGTGTTGCCATGGAGAAAATAAAATCTCCCTTCCCTTGGGGAAATTAAAGTCCCAGAGAAATTAAAGGCCAGAAGTCACCATAGTTTTCTGATTGTGCTAACCCAGCTGGAGACAGTCATGCTTCTCCCACCCCTGTCCCAGCCCCATCTTTCTCAGGCCATTTTCTTCCCAGTTCTAGCTCCCACAAGCTAAGGTAACAGTATCTCCTCTCCTTTTATTTTAGGGGATTTTCAAGGTTCGGGCTGATGCTTGCGATGGGTGCTTTAAACATCCTGGTTGTTTCGCCTAATTCTGGCCACGCTGCTAAAAGTTCCTTCCACGGAGTCTGCTTCCTTTGAACCATTTGAGTTGCAGCCTCTTTCCCGCTGTGACCTGGACTTCACACCCAACAAGTACCTGGCACCAGGCAGCCTGGGTAGAGCAGGCAGTGTTCTGGGATGACTTCCGATGGAGTGGACATTGTTTCAGAACCTGCACTGTCGAATTAATTCCAGCTGTGAGGGTCATTTGTTCCCCTTCTCCAAAAGGTATCCTTCCAAAGGGTAAACAGGACCTGCGGACGTCATTGCAGCAGCTCTGGACCCGATACCATCGAGTCATAACAGCACTTCCCGAACAAGAGTGATGATTCCAGAACACCGTACGTATTGCGGTCTCTAGACCCACGTTGCTGTCGCCGGCTGCGGACACTCACACAGATGAAGTGCTGTCTGGGGGAATTAGGTAGATGAGAAAGCAAAAAAGAAAATCAGGGTTTCAGTTTCACTGGGATCCAGTTGTGGTCGTCAATAATGTCGTTCGCCAATAGTCACCCACCTTCCCCTCTCCGGGCGCTTTATGTGGAGGTGGGGAGGACTGTATTTTCGGGTCCCTTGTGGTTGGGTGAGATCCTATAATTTTGTCAATGACTCATAAGTGGAAACGACTGGAAATGCTGCGTCTCTTTGGGGCCGGGAGACTCTGAGTGTGCTTCCATCTGGCGTTGTGACCTGCCAAGTTCAAATCGGTGGTGGCTTCACTTGTCATTGTCATTCAGGGACCTGGGCAAGCAGAACACCCAAGTCAACCCATCGTGGGCATGAAATATTAGAGAAATAAACCTTTGAGCCCCCAAAATTTGGGGGTTATATGTCACTACAGTGCAATCTAGCCTATCTTGACTGGTTTAAAAAAATTTTTTTTTTTTTAACATAGAAGCACAATGAACTCACTGACCCCCGATCTTTACCATTTGCGTCTCTCCTAAGCCTTGCAGAAACCCACCTGTGATTTAGTGAAACAGGTGTTTGGTCTTCATTCCAGTTTCCTGGCACATGTACCTACGGCTCCTACAATCCTTGTAATGTAGGATAATAAGAGTATCTTGATACTCATGCAATGAATGGTGGCTGGAATTCCCTGTGTGGCTTCAGGGTGGGTGTTGGTCACTCGGAAGACCAAGGCATGATTAGAGGGTTGGGACTTTCTGCCCCACCCCTCAACCTCCTGAGAGGGGTGGAAGGTTGAGTTGATCACCAACAGCCAATGATGTAAGCAAGCGTGTCTACATAATGAAGCCTCCGCAAAAACCCAAGAGGACTGGGTTCCTGGAGCTTCTGGATGGCTGAACACAGAGGTGCCTGGAGGGTGACGTGCCCACGTTGGAGAGGGCACTGAAGCTCTGCGCCCCTTCCCTCATGCCTTGCGCCTCTGTTCCATCTGACTGTTCACCTGTATCCTTTGTAATATTTTTATAACAAACAGGTAAATGCATTTCCCCGAGTTCTGTGTGTCACTGTAGCAAATTAATGGAACCCAACAGAGGGGTCAGGGGGACCCCCAGTATATGGCCAGGTGGTCAGAAGTACAGGTGGCAATCTACTACTTGTAACCAACATCGGGAGTGGGGGACAGTTTTGTGAGGCTGAGCCTTCAACCTGTGAGATCTGACACTATCTCCAGGTACATAGGGTGTGGCTTGAACCGAGTTGCAGAACACCCAGTTGGTGCCTGCTAGAGGACTGATGGGCTGTGCGTGGGGAGAAACCCAGAGGGGAAGTGTTCTGTGTTGACTTTTAAGAAAACAGGAAAAACACCTTTGGTTTTGCCAATATCTCAGACTGCCCCTCGTTCATGCTTCGAAAATCCAGTGAAATACATTCAGGACCTCTGCCCTGCATTCTACAGTGTTGTCTTACTTTAGCCTTCGGATTCCCCAGGCCTCTGTTGATTTTACTGCTCCAAAGGCAACACAAAAATCCCTTTCCTCTACTATTTTTCCTACAGCATCAGAACTGTAGTTTCCCTGAAGAGACAAACTCACAAGCATCATTTGAGAACAATTTTTTTGAGATGAGGGAGGAGGAGTTATGATCACACAAAGGCATCACGCCTACCAAAGATTAAAGGGCTTGTTTTGAATTGCACTTGCTCCGGACTGGCAAGAGCCCCGCCCTCTCCATGTGGAATGACGTTGGCCTGCAAGGACTCGTTGTGGTGCAACAGCCACTTCCACAGTCTAATGTCTCTGAGTATCCCTGACCCCAGGAAAGATGATTCTATTGCGGGCCAAGAAAAGATCCAAACTATTTATTTTAAGACCCTGGACCAGCTATATGTCAGAGACCTCAGCTTTGCAATATAGTACTTGACACTCAAATTCTGTGAATGTACTCACCTGATCCGCCATGATTATGGTTTAATAGCATTCGATGGTATTTCCACGGGACTCGAGAATGTCAGTCATCCCTCCAGCTCAGTGTTCCTTAGGAAAGGACAAGGAACAGGACCTGAATGCAAAGCAATAACTGGTTATTAAGTGGACTAGGACTTCCTCCTCCTGGTCTTACTCCTTGCAAGGGCTGGGTGGGAGGTCTAAGAGGGTGTGACAGCCAGCTTCCAAGATGGGCCCCAGCAATCCCCACCTACTGGTGTTCCTATGCCCATGTGGTCCCCTCCTGTTTGTGCCGGGATTGGCATGTGAGACCCATAGCGTGCAGCAGAAGTGATGGCATGCCACTTCTGAAATTAGGTTACAAAATATACTGCAGCTTCTGTTTTGGGCTCTTTCTTCCTCTTGGGTCACTTGCTCTGGGGGAAGCTGGCTGCCATGTGTTTTGATCATGCAGGGAGCCCTGTGGTGAGAAACCAAAGCCCATGGGAAACCAAGACCTGCCGACAACCACGTGAGTGAGCTTGGAGCAGATCCTCTAGCCCTGGGTGCCCGGTGCCCAGTCAATAGCTTGACTACCGTCTCTGAGCCGGGACCATCAAACTAAGCCACACCTGAAGTCCTGACCCTTAGAAACTAAGTGAGATAATAAGTGTTTTGTTATTTTTAAGCCGAAACATAATTATACATATTTAAGGGGTACATAGTGATGTTTGTTTTAATCTTCCAGATTTTGGAGTATTTTGTTGCATAGAAATAGATAACAGGCAGTGGCTCTCTGAATCCTGGGTCCTTCCCAAACCTCTGGTCGCTTACGTTGTGCTGGAACTTGAAGCAGCATTCGGCCTTTTGGTTATGCATTTGGGGGTTGAGAAGCATAGCCCTGGACACTAGTAAATGTGGCCCACTTATCAACTCCTTATTCTTTTAGGGGAAGGGGGTTAGAGAATAGAAAAGGAATGAGTATACAAACAGATCTGTAATAGGGAAAAGGAGGTTGAGTATTTTTACTTTTATATGTACCTATTCTGATATTACTCTTCATCATCTGTATATTTTTTGTTGGCTGAGCCGTTGATTATTGTACTGACAACAATGTCACTCCCTTTCTCCACAGTGTACCTGTCTATGTGCATAGATACAGGATGAGAATTCTCGATTTGTAATTTTGGGGAGCAATTTTGGCTGGAGAGGGAAGTTCAGGAAGCAAGCACAGACAAAGGTGACAGGTCCAAGTCCTGTCTAGCCCTAACGGAGTGAAAGGTTAGACCTGCTCTTCAGAAGAGATTCTTTTCTCCATCTTGCTGCCAGAACCCAGGAATTTGAGTGTCTCTAGGACGTAGAACCCAGGATGCATGCCCCAGCGGGTAGCATGTTCCCCCACCCTCAGAGACGGGGCAGGTTGGATTAAGCCACCAGAAAGCAGGGTAGCTGAGACCCACTCTGAGTTAAATCCCCACTTCTGAAGCACCTGGAGAGTGGTTTCTGTTTTCCTGACCACACATTCGTTAACACAGTCCCTATCATCTAGGGAATCAGAGAAAGAAAAAGATGAAGAGAATAAACACGATCTTCTAGAAAAAAGTGGGGAAGAACTAAGCAACTTTTAAATATTACCAGGAGCACACGGAGGCCATGGTTCTGGGCCTCGGCCACCTGCCCTGAGTCTCCAGCCTGGCCTGCTCCAGGTGGTGCACGTGTGTCTGACAGATCGGTGCTCCCGTCACCTGGCAGAGGACAGGAGCCAGAAGCAGGAGATGCTTTCAGAAAAGAGTCACTTCGGGCAGAACTGAACACTTTCAAAAATGCATTGCTCTGCCTGTTTAGGGATTATTTTAAGCAGTGTCCCAGGTGAAGGTTTCCTTTGTGCTAGGCCAAACCTATGGTATGGAAAGAAAACAGACCCTGTTACCTTGAATATTTAGTATTTTTTACTGGAGGTTTAAAGCATAGAGAAAAATGAGAACGTGCAACACATGAAGCAAACGATTCTTGGCTTCGGGAAAAATCAAACTAAGCTTATGTTGGTTTTAGTGCAGTTGAATTGCCTTTATAATTTGGCAAACAACCCCTACAGGAAGCCTATAATTTTCCTTCTAAAATGTAGTTTTATTCCTCATATTTTCCCCTTCATATCAATTTTTTAAAAATATGAAACTGAAAGCTTTATTACCAATACCGAAACCCATATATGGCTCCGTGGTACATTTGATTAGATCTAAACTGATGTTTGGTTTCTCATATTGCACCTGCAGAGAACCAAGTTTGCATTGGCCGCATGGAGGAGTCGGTCACATCTCTCCCTGGGAACGGGACCGTCTTCATTTGAAGGTAAGGTGTGATGCACTGACGTGAAGTGAGGCTGTTTCACTTGCTTTAACAATTTTCTATATGGCAGAGTCTCCTGGAAACAAACAAAGCAATAGTTGAGACTTACCCTGCGGCATTCCACTGCATATGAGCTTCTCAAAAAATAAAATGAATCAATAAACTGGAGTTAGTTTTTTACTTCCATATGGGGGAAGGTGTACACAGCTACGGTAATAGACATAGTCACAAGTCCCAGAACGTGTGTATTGTGGTTAGTAATGTTTTTATACACTTGCGAATGTTGAGATAAAAGTCAAACTACTTCAGCCTTGTACTGTTTATGTATATGCAAAGTTTTGAGTGTTTATTTTATTCTTTCTTTAAAATCCTGTGGTTTTCAGCATGTGCTTTGGAGGATTTTTAATTCTTATTTGTGGATTATTTACCTACATTTGCATTTTCACCAAAATTCTTGCTTTTATCGTTTATAAGGAGATTGGTCAGGGCATTGAAATATTTTTAGAAATTAAAAAGTACAGAGTAAGGTCATATAAAAAGAAAACTCTTTAAACCATGCAGTGGGGATGCCCGGTACATTTGGGTAACACATCTGATGCCCCGTCTGCCAGTGGCTTATTAAACACGGGCTACTGGCACTGCGTATTTAAGAATGTTTATTGTATTGAATGAAGAGAAAGAAATCTAGATTCATTAGCTGTTTGGCCACTGCATCTTTACCTTCTAGGATCTGGTTTTCTCATCTGTAAGTTGAGAGTCTTATCTAAGACTTGTAAGGCCAGAAGTAAACAAGGGCCTGCTTTTAATAAAACTCTTTACATAATCAGTGAGATGTGCACCATCTGGGGGATGGTCATGCTGGAAACTCAGACTTGTGGGGGGAGGAGGGAAAAGGGCATTTATTGAAACCTTAAAATCTGTACCCCCATAATATGCCAAAAGAAAAAAAACAAAAAAAAAAGAAACCAAAAAACAAAACTCTTTAAAGCCGAGAAAGCCCAGCCTCTCCAAGCCAACCACTGAACTCCTCTCCTGGCTGTAGGTCAGATCACAGGTTCCCAGACTCAGCTGCACCCTGGAACCACCACGGGAGTCAAACCGTCCCAATGCCCAGATCTCACTCCTGGATTTGGCCTTGGGTGTGGGGCCTGTGCATTGGGCCTTTTAGAAGCTTCCCCAGGTGATTCTAAAGTGCACCAACATTTCAGAACCACTGGGCTTGGTCTTGCATCAGAATCACCTGGTTTGCCTCTTGAAGGTGCAGCCGAGTTTGAGAACCTGTGGTCTGACCTACAGCTAGAAGAGAAGAAACTGTTAAGCGGCTGACTCAGACGCTGGGGTTTCTCCTCTTTTCAGCATTTTAAAGGTGCAGCTATCCTGCTAATGGCCCAGATTCAGATTCAATGGGTGCAGGAGGGAGCCCCCAAACCTACCCATTTAACAAGTTCCTCCAGCTCCCAGGGTAGGGGCTCTCAGAGCCACACTGTGAGAAGCACTGTTTAGATGCTAATTCCTGGGTGCTCATTTAAGGCGGTTTTCATGTACCTGCACCGTAAGGAACGGCTTCTCTAGATTAGGATCCAGCCTGGGGAAGCTGGGAGGAGGTGAGGAGCGGAAGGGAACAAGAGGCCCTCCCCTGCAAATATTATAGACCGAAGTCTGCTTGAGAGAAATCATGACACTGTTAAGGCACCAGGCTAAGGACAGTGGGAGAATCCCTCCAAACACATGGAATCCCCTGTGAAGAGAGACTCAGATCTGAACAGTTTAGACAATCATGGGGGACCAGGCTATAGGCCAGAGTGACTGAGGCTCAAGCTGTCTGTTCCTCCCTCACCACCCTGGGTTCTCACCTGTCACTGTCAGTGAAGTGGACAGTAACACCCTGCAGTGAACCCTCTGGCCCAGTGTCCCTGGGTGGACTCATCAGATCAGGTGCTCAGCGGGCTGCACTGTCCTGCTGGTCTGGTCCAATATGATCGCCCAGTGCCCTCCTCTATCATCCCAAGGCACCCACTCCATCCAGGCCTCTAAGTAACGATGGAGAGAACCCAAGGTGTGTGGTCGGGTGTAGGACACACTGCTGGTGCCCGCTCAGGCTCCCTCTGCCCCTTGCGTTTCAGAGCATGCTGGCCTAGCCTGCCATCACCCACCAGCACCTGCTTCTCCACCCAACGACTTGCTCTCGGTCTGTCCTCACGCAGTGATCCACATGTTCACGCACACGAGTGGCCCTCAACTAATGGCCGATGGGACTTGGTATCAGCTCCCCTACCTCTTGTGTGGGCTGACTCTGAGGCATGTTTCCTACAGTGGGTCCCAGAATTCCTCCGTGGTATTAAGCCCTGATGGCAAGTACGGTGACTGTGTTGGCTACGTCCCTTTTTTGTCTCCCTTCCCCACTCCCTAACCAGTGTTTCCTGGGATCGCATCCAAAACAAACTATGTGCGCTTGAATGTCAATCTGGGTTTCTTCACAAACAGATGCTAAGACAAAGACATTGGGATTCCTGGCTTCTTGTAACTAATCCCCGTGTTTATAGCGCAGCGACATCTGCATGTTTAAATGTGATGCCCTTGGATAGAAACAAGCAGCATCTTTGGTTATATACAAGGTTCCGGTGCTCAGATATCTGAACTAAACACCTTTAATTGTCAATAATACTCAAAGGGGCTCTTGAACTTTAGACTTTATATAAAGACAAGAAAATGGTTCTACAAATTGCAAACAATTTAATTTGTGATATGCATAGTCAATCATTTTTGGAGCAAATAGGTGTGAATAAATTTAAAGTGACTGGTAGGCTATTTTATTAAGCTTAGTTTATAAATGTCATTTCAGGTTCAACGCATGGCACGAACCGGGTATTGTGAATCCTTTGTGCTAAGAAATTGATGCCTCCCTTAAAGGACCTCTCCTTCCCCACCCTGGTCTGCATCACTTGCTGACCCTACCCTGGGCCCATGCTATTCTACACCCCTTACAGGCCTGTGTTTGATCTCTATGTTGCAGTACAGAAAACAGACACAAGGTGAATTTTGCACGAACAAGGGATTAGACACAAATATTCGTTCAATGCTTTCATCAGCTGTTTTTATAGTTCCTGTTATCCATAATTTGCCACACAGATCTATGATTTGGAGCACAGCAATTTATTTCCCTGCAACACACTTTGTGAAGTGACAACCACCAGTAAAGTGGCTCTCCTTTTTGGGTAAAAAGCCAACTCTTCCCAACCACCACCTGGAAGCCCTCTGCTGTGTGGGACATTAGTGAATATTTGCTGGTTGAACTGTGAACTTCTGGCAGGTTCAGAAGCCCACGTGGCTCTGGCATCACATGGCATGTGTGGACAACCCATGGCAAACACTGGGGTCTTCAGGAACATCATTCATTTTCTACATTTTCTCATCTCAGAGCCAACTGGAAGGCAAATACCAGGGACGTCCCAGCGGAGATCATTGCCGATGGAGGTGGACTGAAGAATGTGGCTGGATCCGAACCTCAGACTCCCAGAGATCCTCCCCTCCCCCAGCCCTGCCAGTCCAACCTCATGCCCCTAGAGAAGAGGTTTGGCCAACAGAGCAGAGACACCCCCCCAGCATCAGCGGGTGGAACATGCGGCCCTGGCTCAGCCTACCAACTCCAGCTGCGGGCAAAGCCTGCCGCAGGTGCATGCAGTGGAGAGAGGAAAAGCCACGCCATGCAAGAGCGCTGCCACGGTGACCCTGCCCACTAGGGAAGCGTGGCCCTGTGAGTGGCAGCTTGTGACCTGCTGCATTAGCTATTCCTCTCCTACGGAGCAGTGAGGGCACTCAAGTGTGGTCCTTTTGTCTGTGGACCATCACCCCCAGATCTCAAGTCCACTAGCTGGAAGGACTTACTAGATCTCGTTCAATCTTCCCACTATCTCCGGGGGAGGAAGGGGTGCTTCCGTCTTTCACCCTTCTTATAAGGACGCCAATCCCGTCATGCCCTCACCTAAGCCTAATTACCTCCAAAGACCATCACGTTGGGGGGCAGGGCTTCAGCATATACGTTTGGAGGGACACCAACGTTCATTTCCTAACAAGCCTCCTGTACAAATTTTCTTCATCTGCCCCTCCACGTGCTTCTCTGTGTCACTGAGGCTGACCTTCAAAGACCCCACTACCCAGGTTCCCCGCCGCTGTCATGCGCTGAGGTCAGGCCGGCCGGGAGCATGGGCAGAAAATCAGCCGTTAGGCGGCCATGGCAGTGGCGTGTCCCTCTCCCTCCCTGCTGGGCACGGTTTGGGCAGTGGGCATTCCTCTGCAGCCACAGCTCCCCTTTTAGGTGGCCGCTCGTGGCTCCAGGTTCATAACACAGCTGCGTGGCCTCGGCCCCCTG